GAGTGTGACGTGAAAGAACTAGGTAAACCTTTGGAGTAGATTAATAAGTTAGTGTCCTTATTAATGTCCTTGTGGTGATGGGGTCATTGGCTGGGTCGGATTTTAGGCAACAGAACTTCAGAATTATTGACCTTTTCCCATCCAGTCATCGTAGCTCCTTCTTTTTGGGACCACTGTCATCAGGCCAAAGCAACACACTCAAGTTTTCCTGGGGGTAAAAATACTCATAATTTTAGTCCTATTCGCACAAAATAAATATCTGGAGACCCCATGTAATAAATAAATTACTCTCCAATTACTCTTTTTATCTGCCACATTTGAAACATAGAGATATCTCCCACATACGGTATTAACAACTCAAGGAATGATGGGAGTTGATGTTAAAGCTACTTTGCCGTCTCTAAAAACAACTTTATATTGTAGTTTTTAATTTGCTGTTCATTATTTAATGTTTTGTTTTTGACAACTTTCCCCCAGAAAAGGCTGGACAAAGATCTTTTCATTAACATCGCCTACGTTTGCTACAAACCTTTAAACTTTAAACCTTCTGTCTCCATGCAACAGTTTACTTTTTTTCCACAACAAATAAACATTTAAACAGGTCATATATCGTTTTGTATTTTATTAGTTTGTAATGATCCAGTCCAGTTTTGACAAAATGTACTTCAAATTAACTTTAAAAGTAATAGTTTTTAAAGATTACAAGGGCTTACTTTCTTTTTACCATGATTTCATAAACTAAGTTCTTAAACACCATTAAAGGGAGTCTAATCTTTAAAAAACAGTGGCAAGCATATTTAATATACATGGATTCTAATGTCAGCTTCTAAACTGAGGAGCCTATCAGAAAATGCTATCAAGGAGTCTTACGTCGGTCTCTTGAATAATTATCTATGCGAAGTTTCCAGGTCCTTGTCTGCAAAAGAAAGCCAAATCATCACTACGCTTGACAATTGTATTAAGTGTTTATGCTGATAGGCTGCTGTGCATTTTGGCCTGTCACCTCTGCTGTAGTCTCATCTATCCAGAGGAAGCTGTTCCAGATGTCTCATGGTTGTCATGGTACATTAATCTTATGAGAGAAGAAGCTTTTTTTTTCTAGAATCTCTTCCAGTCGCTGATCTTGATGGAAACATTTGCAATTGTCTTAAAAGGTTCTTACTTGTAAAAATAATCTTCTTTGTTGTATAATGATGGACTTTAGATTATTTGGATATTGTCTCCCCAGCCCTTCAGAGTGATTCTCTAAGCTTCCTTCTTCTGTCTTATCAGCTCGTTATTGTTAAAGTATGGTTCTATACTCGAGACTAGAAAATGTCCACAAAACTGCTGAAACACTGATTTCTTTAAATCAAGACTAAAATCCCACCTGTATATGTACAGTATATTTGATGATGATTATGCTTGATGATTTTGTTAATGGCTTTTGACGAAATGTAATGTGTTTTGCTTGTTTCATAATTGACCATTGTGTTGTTTTTATCATGTAAAACACTTTGAACTGCCTTGTTGCTGAAATGTGTGATACAAAGGCACCTGAAGCTGCTGGTTTTACATAAGTAGTATACTGAACAGTAATCAAGGGATTAACACTTTCCTCCTTATGTCATCTGGAAACAGTCCAGGTATTCTTGATTTTTTTTTCTTTTTTCATTTTTGTAGCGTTTTTTTTTTTTGGGTTCCGTTTACTATGCATGTGCGTTATCTGTTACTGTTTTCATACTCTTGAGGTTAGATGAACAAAATTTTAGAGCCTGTTTAAGGCTAGATCATTTTCATTATGTTGTGATCCATAAAACATTTGAATTAAAGGAAAAAGTGTCATTTTTTCCAATGACTTGAGGTTGGTTTAAAAAGCACAACGTGAATTTTAGCAGATGACTTTAAAGGGGCAGTATGTGTTTTCCAGGCACATAGTGTAATTTTATGGCAGAACAAATAGCTATGTAACCTGCTGTTATAAAAATGTTATATATACTGCTCAAAAAAATAAAGGGAACATTTCACTTTAAATTTGTTTGTGGCTCCAAATCCAGGCCTCCATTGGTTAATAAATTTGATTTCCATTGATGACTTGTGTGTGATTTTGTTGTCAGCACATTCAACTTTGTACAGAACAAAGTATTCAATGAGAATATTTCATTCATTCAGATCTAGGATGTGTTATTTGAGTGTTCCCTTTATTTTTTTGAGCAGTGTATATTAAATATGACTTAAAGAATGTTTTACTTCATAATATAACACCTTGAAATTGGGCCCGTCTCTTTAAAAACTCCAGCTCTTTCTGAAACTCCTCCTTCAAGAAGTGATCATAACATGGTTCCTCTATTAATCCTTTAACTTTTTTTTTTTTTTTTTTTTTACCTGCGTTTCACTGAGAGAGAGATGATACCAGGTGTTTGCTAATTGCTGCTAGCTAGTCTGAAGGAGCTGAGTGGGGAGTTGTGGGAAAGGGCTGCTCTGTGAGATGGTAACCTAGAAACTGAATTTCAAAGGCAGTGCTAGGTCCACTCAGGCCTTTTCCATGGCTGAATGGTTGCTACAGGACAGTAAACGATTCCTCAAACAGGTAGGAAAGAATCAAAGCAAAACACTCCAGGTACGTTTTTGGTGAGAGAATGACATAACATGATATACAGCTCCAAAAAGTTGATTTTAAATATTACTTCTCCTATAATGGCATGCCATGTCTGCTAAGTATTATAGAAAACACAATTAGACAAATGGTTCTAGACTAGAGCTTTTCAAACTTGAGAATAGGTTTGTTTTGAGCTTTGTACAAAAAGACCATGTTATTGGATAATGCAGCAAGTTTATATGATGTTGACAATAAAGTCTAAGTAAAAAAAATAACTAAACTAAAAAGCACTGTTCATATTTTGTGGGATTAAATGCAGCTAGATGTCAAATTCCAGCAAACCCAAGAAATCTAGATTCACTGCCAAACTGCAAACTCCCAAGTCATGTTTACCAGAAGCCACCGTTGACTGAAAGCGGTTCCATTTTCACACTGTCAGATTTCACCTTCATAACTTGACTGACCAACATCCGCAGCTCCACTTGCCTGGTGACTCCTGGGGGATTTGGCACAGGAAGTTTAGGTGACTCACCTTTGCGAGTCACGCTGTAGTGGTGCAGTGGGCCCAGACATGTTCTCATCCACTAACTAAGATGGCGGTGTTCTCATGCTGGTACACAAGCAGATATTTCCCACCCAGTCGATCCTGAAACTGCGTCATAATCCCGACTGGATTAACAATGCCCTCTTCTTCCTGCCTGACATCAAACATCATTCTGCACCGCAGGACCTGGTGCATTTAGCCTTTTTCTGGTTATATTAAAGCACTGTGTGTGTTTCTCGACATCAGTCCGCTTGTCTCTTTTTCAGATGGACGCAGCTAAGGATTGCTGTCAGCTTCCTGAGCCGGATTCCCAGCTGAGAGTCTGGACCTGGGCTGTGACTGGAGTTGGTGTGAGCATGCTGGGAGCTGCTCTCTTCCTGTTCCTCTGCAAACCTTCAAGAGCTGCATGAACACAAGAACACACATACAGCTGTGAACGGATTCATTCTAATGTTTTATTTGATTATTGCAAGCTATATAAAATAGGGTTACAATTTAGGCATGCTTAGGAAGTTTAAGTTGTCTTCCTTCTGTTTTCTTTTTGCAATTAGATTTTTCTCTTAAAAGTGTTTTGAGTTAGGCTGAAGGTTAACCAAGAGATTTTTCCTCTGTTGCCAAATAAAAAATTGGGACATTTTGACTTTCATTTTTTCCCCACATCTGTAAGAAGCTCAGCCTCTTTTTGTTTGAATCAAATAAAACATCAAGAGCGCCAGGATGGCACCAAAGTAAAGTCCTCAACGCGGCCATCAGTGGTTTGAGTCCCGGCCCCTCTCAACCCGCTTTATGACCTCTCTCAAATAAAAAGCATTAGAGCCAGAAAAATACCTTAAAAAAAATAAACAAATGTAGACATGTTAGCTTTTTAGCAGTAAGACTTCCCAGCAGAAGTTCAAAAAGACATTCCTGGTTTGTAATGGAGGTTTTCAGTGGCGGTGCCTGGATCAAGCTTTTCTGGTCAAAGGCTGATTTTTGTTTTCCTTTTTGCCTCGGAGAAGAAATAAAGTAAATATTAAAGATTCTTTGCTGGGTGTAGAACATTTTTAATACAATAATAGTTCTAAGATTATAGCCATTTATCCCTAACTTTCAACTAATTCTCATTAAACTCTATAAAGTCAATCTTGTAGGTTCATTTGTTTATAGATAGAATATGGGGAGTTTGTAGTCTAGAGGCTTTTATTAAATAGAGGAAAACAATTTTGTGTTTTCAGTAGTTCATCTGCTGGTCATTTTGATCTCTGACTGGTTATCTGAAAATCTTGTCCTGAAATAAAGTTTGTTTGATGTGGGTTTTGATGGGTCAAATTTCTCAGTAACCAGTTGAAATTTTGAATTTCAAAGTAAACTGATCTAGCAATCAGAGTTGTGTAGCAGTTCTTCCTTTTTGTATTCTATATATTAATGTGAATGCTCTAATGAAAGCAGAGTTCTGTGACACATCACAGCTATTGCAAAACCAAAGTGGAGCTCTTAACTGTGCCAAAGCTTTGACTTGCTCCCCCCCCCCATTCTCTTCCACGGGGATCATGTGCAAAATCCAATTTCCCCATTAATCTGGTCTGGTGTGGGTCCCGAGATCTCCACATACACTCGGGCCTGATCAAAGCCAGAGGAAATACCGAGTGACACCGGCTACAGATTTCCTCTGGAGACTTCAAAAAGACGCCCATAAATACTCCAATTGAGATGGACACATCACCTTTAGGTGTTGCTGTGGGAGAACCGGAGTGCTTGATTTAAAAAAAAATAAAATACAACAAAACCCGTCAGTTCTGAGTTGGCGAAGGATGAGGTTGTAAATGACTGGAAATTAAGTGTGCGTCATTCTTTGGGAATGGAGATTTGACACCTGTGCGTCATCTTCACCAAAGTATCAGATTATGGTGCTTTAAGACGAAGCGACCAGTCATTTTCTGCTGGCTTCTTAAATCTCCGTCCTGTTTCTGTCCGTTAAGATTTATTCACATTTCTCAAGGATCGCGACAGACTTCTTTTGTTTTTTCCTTCGGTTTTCTCTGAGCGCGCAGGCTCAAATCCCGCTCTGGTGCCGTTGGACTGAGGGAGGCGCATCAGCTGGTGGCAGGGAACCCGGAGCTCCGCGTCTGGACCCGAGCCAAAAGCTGTCTGGTGTCAAACCAGCCCGAACAGATACGCCGAGACATCTCATTTCTTCCCTTCATTCCTGAAGCGGCAGCCTGCCCACCCCTTGTGTAAAGTATTTGAACCTGATAGCTCATCACCCGTCTGTCCCCTGCGTGAGGATCTCTGCGGGGCTATAAGACGCTCTGCGGAGCCTTCCTCCGGCAGATCCCCCATGGCTTTTACGCGCAGATCGCCCTTGCTCTCACTTCTCTGTACTTCAGACTTTATTTGTTGACCCACCGACTTTTTTTTTTTTTAATAATTATATATATATCCATTTTCAAATGTTTCTTCCATCCATGGAAATGCTCCGTGCATATCCATAAAGAACCAAATTCTGCTTAATATGAACTTTTTGCCAAGTGGAATATGTTTCTTTCTATCGGCAGCAACCTGCTGGCTGACGGCCAAGGTCGATGCGTCCTGGTGGTGAGTGTCGCGTTGTATTAGTGTCTGTTGTTTTATTTTATTACTGTTTACCAACGCAAAATTCCCCCCATAGTAATCTATTCTAACTTCTAATGAAGGGTTCCTCTTAATAATGAGAACAATTGGGGCACATGAATGCTTTTGCAGAGTGTTTTCTACATTGAATATTTGTACAAGATAAGTTTTCAGGCTTTCCAGTCACTTGATCCAATGTAATATCTGTGCATTTGTTATCTTTGCATGCTTTATTAATTAATATTTGTAAGGTGACTGTGTCCAAATACCCGTTTTTATGCTTTTAAACAGCTGAGTGCTTTTCTTTAAGATTTAAAATTTAAAGAATGTAGCTTGATCTAATTATTTTCTTACAATGTTTATTCAAGAAATTCTTCTCCCCTCAATTTGCAATTAGATTAAAACTGCAGTAAGAAAAATAAGGAATGAATAAAAATAAATAGCTATATCAAATGAAGATGGAAAATAGTTCAACCGAAGTGGTCAATTACACGAGCCCACGAGTTCACTTTCAAATGAAACTTGGCAATAATTTTGTTTTATATTACACAAACTTAAAATAAATAAATAAAATTAGGAAAAATCTTCTTTCTATTAAAAAAGTGTTTGAAGTAGTGCCTTCAGCAAAGATCACTTCCATTGTCATCAAACAGATTTGGAGTATTTGAACTTTCTTTTATCACAATCTGCACAAAGGCATCAACTCAAGATAAAACATTGTAGGTAGAGTGCAAGTCAAACTTGAACATCGTCACCTTCCTTTCCAAAAGAAAGGTGGTATTTTTATTTATTATTATTATTATTATTATTATTATTACCAAAATTACTTGAGCAGAAAATGACTTGGGCCATTATTTTAGCAAGGTGACGATATGGTTCACATTTCTCCTTGGAGAAAGTAAGATTTTCAGGGTTTGGCACCCTTTCAAAATATTTTTAATTTTCCTTTGATGCTCACTTCTTGTTTTAAGTTCATTTAACTCAAATCTGTATATAAAAAATAACTACTCGCAGGACCTGAGCTGACGTGCGCATGCGTAAATTGGAGCCGCCTAACGTGTTAGCTAGTCATTGTGCGCCTCACCATTAGAAGATATAAGTTTTCACAACTTTAGCTCGATGACCCGACATTCAAAGACTATGAATATCCGGAAGGCGTTTTGTAAAGTAAGCAGGAGAAATATAAATTTGACCTGGAACGACGTGACGGTGATCAAAGCATCCATTCATCAGCAGCGGATTCCTGCGGGGTGGAGCAGATCCCCATTTCGTTTCTTGGTGCTACACGTAACTGCAAACTCGAGCTCGGCTACGAGCTAAAGATTTACCAGCGAAGCTACGGGAGCTGCAGACAGACAGCAGACCTCGCTGACTAACGTCAGAGCTGAGCTGCTAACAGACTGCAGTGTGAACACACTCAAAGGTGAAAATTTCACTGCAATTTTAGGAAAAGTGGTAAAACTTTTACGTACAAGTACAGCTTTTATCAGCTGGTACCATTTAGACACATTTCATGTGATTGTTTACGTCCAGAAATTTCGCGAATGCGGTGGAAGGCAAAAGGAGATTCTTTTCCTTGCCACCCGCAGCCGTTCTGCCGCGATAGAACGATTCAGTTAACTAAATGGAACCTGGAGATGTATTCTTAATTTATTACAATGCGCCACAGCAAAGGGAAAATAACGCAGAAAAACCGTTAAAGAACATCTCAAAACCACTCGTATTCTTTCCTCCGCCCTCACTTTCCGTGTCGGCTAGCTACACAGACTCGTTGCCATAGCAACCAACAAACAGCTCCGCAATATGTATGAGGATTCAACACCATAAAACACACAAAGAGGTAAAACTTTGTGTGTGTTTTATGTCCTGTTAAGGACATTCGGTCCTTAACAGTTTCATGTTTTTATGAAACTGATGTTTATTTTGGCATTATAAAGTGATCTAAAGTTGGACAATCGTGGAAAATATGTAAATGGTCACCAGTTTGTTTGCAATCCCTCCAACATAAATCAGTTTTAGTTTTATCTTGCTTAGATTTGATAAGCTGTTTCCTAAAGAATCCCATCTTGAGTTTCCAATTAACTCCTATGTTGGGCTGTTTGTAATTTTATGACAGTCTGATGTAGTTTAAAGTCGAAGTAAATTGTTCGACTAAACCACATACAGTAACACATCATCATAATGGATGTTTTTTTTAAGAAAGCATTTAGTGTCCCCTGTCATTTAAATTGTGCATTTTTAAATGAAAGCATGACTTAAATGTTTGCATGTTTGCCTCTACGAAGCCGAGTGCCTTGTGTTTAAATATCTGACATGCCACTGTTCCCCCCTCCTCACCATGCAGGTACATGGGCACCCTGGGTTCCCAGGTGATGTGCGACAACATCCCCGGCCTGGTGAACAAACAGCGCCAACTCTGCCGCCAGCACCCCAAGGTAATGCAGGCCATCGGGGCCGGGATGAAGGAGTGGATCTCTGAGTGTCAGCACCAGTTCCGTAACCACCGCTGGAACTGCAACACAACAGCCAGGGACCACAACTTGTTTGGCCGTCTGCTGCTACGCGGTGAGTAGAAACTGGAATGAGAGACTTACCCTACGGTTACCCCAAACACCGATGGGTTGGCCTGGATAGATGCTCATCTCATGACTTATGAAGGTCCTTAAAGTAAATGTGAAAACAATTTCAAACAAACGGTCATTCTTTCAAGAACTCGGCTAAATTTACGGCCACTGAAATGAAATATGTTGTAGACGTGTTGTTTTCTTTCTGTGGCAGTCACTCGGATCGCATTCCGTACCTCTCCTCACTTTACAAACATACATTTATCACATCAGTGCAGACGAGCGGTTTCTCTGAGCTGCGTTTTGTGCTGGTGCAGTCCTTACTGTGATAAATTTGTTCTGCAGTTCCCAGATGTGATGAAACTGTTGAGCAGAGGGAGCAGACATTCATCAGCTCCTGATTTGATCATAAATTACTCTCTATAAGGGGGCAATATTATATGAAATTAACTTCTTTTTTCTCCTTACATCATGTTATGATGTTACTCTCCAGGTATGTTTCTGTATCAAAAACATACCTGAAGTGTTGCCTTGATTCTTTCATGCATGTTTGGGAAATCCTTTAATCTGTGCCATGGCAACCATTCAGCTGTTCAAAACGTCTAGGTGGACCTAGCCCCGCCTTAGAGGTGCTGCTCCTTCTCAGAGCTACCGTTTCCAGTTTTACAAGTTTCTACCTCACAGAGCACTCCTTCAGACTAGCCAGCAGCAACTAGCAAACACCTGGTAGAACTGAGCATCTGCTGAGCTCGTTATAGGAGTTACTTCTCAGAGCAAAGCTGGTAAAAACGTTGATGACTTCCTGAGGGTGGAGTTTCAGAAAGAACAGGAGTTTTTAAAGAGACAGAGGCCCAATTCCAAGGTGTTACATTACAAGGTAAAATTTCTTTTAAGTAATGATCTGTATCGCCTTTTTAAACAAGTGAAGGTAACAGTTAAAATGGCGATATGTGTCTGAAAACACATAATACTGCCCCTCCAGGCTGAAGGTGCTGACTGGAAATGAGGACATGTTTTTATTTTTCATTTTTATTAAATGTAACCAATATTTATTTGAAATGACCCCAATAATAATAATATGATTGCAAAACCTGCAACACCTCAAATGTTCCCACTGACATCCTTAGATTAATTCAGCTATGGTCAGTAATTAATCTCCTCTCAGTCCATTGGGCTGAGGGATGGCAGGCGAACATAATCCAAGCCTTTTTGAAGAGTCACGGCTGGTCATCAGTGGTGTTTATCTTCTCCGACGATTTGTTGGCGACTGCACATAATTTATTGGCAGCTTTAAAAGACGAGAGCGGACCTCAAAAGGTTGGTTCTCGCCGTCAGTGAGAGGTGAAGCTGAACAATGAGACTTATGAAGCGGCATTAGGAACTAAAGTGATTACCAAGCAGTGAGCCCGCCTGTCACTCCCTGTAACGGATGTTACAGAAGCATCTTGTCAAGTGAAACATGTGACTGCACATCTCAGCCACTAGACTTGTGGTGCTGTTTTCAGCGGGGGGCATGTTGGAGCTGGTCCGGATCTTATTTTCCCTCTTCTGGCGCAGAAGGAAGGATCATCAGAACCTGACGGCCTGATGTTCTTCTCCCATGCCCTGAGATTTAACCTGTGAGGTGGATCCTTCAACTTAGTCTGTTTCATGTCGGGGGGCCTCTAATCAGCCGTGTGGTATTTGGACCTCCCACCCGGACCCCGACCGTGTCACACAGCATTATTGTGGCACACAGAGGCCCCTTCAGAAGCTCCTTATTGTCAATGTCAGAAGGCTAATTTCAAACAATTACACAGGAGATTTCCCTCCTCAGCAACGTGTTCTCTCACCGTTCTCCTCATTCACCCCATTAGACACACCTAACTAAGCTGCTACACACACACACACACACACACACACACACACACACACACACACACACACACACACACACACACACACACACCTCTGTTTATATTAGTTACTGTTCCTAGGTAACACTTGAGCTTGTTTTAAACATATTTTTCTTTCTATATGCAGTTTCAGATTTGAACACTGTCATGTAATTCTTTGTGTTTTTGCTGCATATGCCTTCTGGAAACGTCAGTGATGTAGTTTTAAGTTAAGTTTATTGGTATGGCATATTTCATTAACACGGAAGTTCAAAGTGCTTTACATAACAGTAACCGATCATGACTGAAATTTCGTCAAATGAAAGAAAATGTAGATGAAATACATTGATCACTGTTCCAGTTATTATGAATCAAAGGCGACTCTAAACAGGTAGGTTTTTGGCCTTGATTTAAAGCTGAAGTAATGTATCTTTAATTTAAAAATATATAGCTTTTTTATTTATTTATTTATTTATTTATTACATTTTTGTTAAAACTATCACCATGTTGTGACAGATTAATATGAGACAGATATTATGTGAAAAGATCGATCTTCTTCACTGCCACGCTGCTATTTCCTCTAAAGAAATGCACATACAGGCATGATTGACAGCGCTAGGACCCTCCTCCTGGCTCTGATTTGTTGTTTCTGGTTAGCACTGGGAGAAGGCAGAGAAGCTCTTTTTTTTCTCCACAGATTATCCATCTCATATTTCTTTGTCCCAACATAGTGACAATTATGTAAAAAAAATGTGAAAAAGTTTTGCAGTTTCCCAAAAGTTTGAATTTGGGTTTAGCTACTTACTGAGTAAAAGATTCTCCTTTATTATTATAGTCTTAAATAACCATCCAGACATAAAATGTTGAGTTCCAACAACTATTACTGATGAGATTTGGTCCTGGGCAATATGAGGGAGTTTTTATCACCTCAGTCTTGATGTGTTTTATCAGTTCATGCACTGCAAACATTCATATTCATTTGGACACTTGAGAAATTAAGGTAATATTCTTTATTCAAATCATGTTGTATCTTAAGGGAAAATGTGTTTTCACTTCAGTATGTGATAACTTCCAACTTGCTGTTGGTCAGATTTACTGTGGTTTGATCAGGGGTCATAATTTGTTATATTTCATATTTTGACTGAGCTAGCCAAAGTAGAGTGAGATCCAAAATCAACCATTTTCAGAAAGTTATATAAAATGTAATTATATGAGAGATTTAAGCATTTTGACACCTTATTCCCATAAACTATGAAAATACTTTACTAAATATGTAATTTCACAGCCAAGAATTGGGGTACTATCTGGCAAAAAAGCAGGTACTAGGGGAAATATTTTTTATGTGGAGTCCTGCCAAGAGATGATCAGAAATCTCTTATTTAGACGGTTCTCTGAGCCTCTTTGATGAAACAGAGACATTTCAAGCTAACCACTGGGCAAAGAAGAGCTGAACCAAAAGTGAGGATTTTTCATATCAAAACAACTCTTTCCCACTGCAGGTCAGGTATTTGCTTCTGATAATCGCTCAACATTCCATTAATAAATTCATTTTTGCTCTTCATACCTTCAGCTGACTTTACAAGACATGGTGGTTTTGTTGCAGAAATAAAATGAAGAAATGGAGCTCTCCTTCCCTCAGATCTTGCCCACATCTCTCTTTGGTTACTGTGCATGTGGAGGAGATGAGGGCTCCACATGAGGGCATTGCTCATAAACCTAAGCTGTTTATTCATCTTGGAAAGAGATGAAGCATTTTCTTTTTCTGTTTCATGCTCTGTAACCTGGCATGAAAGCTTCTGGCAGAAAACAACAAACAGCGAGGTTTCATCAGTGGCCAAACAGTTAAGGGACAGTTTTGATTGTCATGGTATGATTCTGAAATCAGCAGATTTGTGTTGGGACATGTAGAAAATAACAGGAACTTGGCAAGATTGGTTACTAACTACCAGAAAAAGACTATTTTATGTTGTGAACCAAAACAATAAAAACAGTAACCAGGACCCATCAGCCAATGTAAAGACATGCTGTCAATCTTCAAATCTGAGCTGTTCCCTGAAGAACATACTTCTACACAGATAGATGTTGGTACAAAGTAACAGACTTTGCCCCATCATAATTGTCTACTCCTAGGCAGCCGAGAAGTTGCCTTTGTGTACGCCATCTCCTCTGCAGGAGTGGTGTATACTTTGGCCCGAGCTTGCAGCCAGGGCGACCTGGACAACTGCTCCTGTGACCCCACCAAGAAGGGCTCATCACGGGACTCCAAGGGCTCCTTCGACTGGGGAGGCTGCAGCGATCATGTGGAGCACGCCATTCACTTCAGCCAAATCTTTGTGGATGCCAAGGAGAGGAAAGAGAGGGATGCCCGAGCGCTCATGAACCTGCACAACAACAGAGCTGGCAGGAAGGTATGGAAGAGGGCACACATAGAAATGACTCAGCTCAGCTATAAAAGCAATTGGATGATGTGTTTTTTTCCTTCTGGATTTTCTTCCCCATTATTTTGAAAACTGTCTAGAAAGGGGAGTACTAAAAGCTCTTCTCTAGACATCTGTAAACGAACCTGCCTTCCTGTTGTCTCCTCACAGGCAGTGAAGCGCTTCATGACTCTACAGTGTAAATGCCATGGCGTCAGTGGCTCGTGCAGCGTCCGTACCTGCTGGCAGGCTATGGCCGACTTCCGTCGCACTGGTGACCACCTGAGGAGGAGATACAACGGAGCTGTGCAGGTCGCAGTCAATCAGTATGGAACTGGCTTTACAGCCGCGCACACACACTTCAAACGGCCCAGCAAAAATGATCTGGTCTACCTGGAAGACTCGCCAGACTACTGTATACGGGACCCTCAGTCAGGTAAGGGCTTAATCTGTCAGTCAGGTCATGTTCATGCTCCTAAATAAAACCCAGCCAAAAGAGCATGCATAAATACATCCTCCTCTATTTAAAAAAACAGAGTCCTCTGGAGTCCTCTTCTTCCTTTTTGCATTTGAGAACTTCCACCAATCACCTGTTTCATTGACTTTTAACAAAAACTAAGCATGGGTGAGTGCTGGTAATCACATGCACTCATTACCTTGTCATCGCTGGTTTAAACACGTCTATAAAAAGCAGTTTTTCCAAGTTGGTGCTGAATACTATTTGGTTCACACACATCCAATGAGGACAGTCATCATCAACAGTCTTAAAAGTAATTCAAGCTGCAAGCAGTGATGAGTGGATATTGTGTCTTGGTGACCGCCAGCATCATCACCTTTCTCCTTCAGAAAGGCATCAAACTACCTTCCCAAGCTGTTGATCTGTGATGTTGCACTGAAAAATCTGTGTGGAGATGATGATGCTTTATGGAAAAATAGTGTCAAATGTTCTATTCAAATTCCACTGACCAATTGACTTGTTTGTACGTAGATGAAGATTGTTTATATCCATTAGTCAGAGTAGAATTCAACTTCACCCTTGAGGATGAAAAAACATACAACTTCCTGGTCTAAGTGGGCAGGGCTTAAATGATGTCAGCAAGTGATTATATAAATATGTTTAATGCTAGTCTGTGACGATACCTAGAAAATCTGGTACAGCTTTGACCTGGTGTGAGAAAATTCTTACGCATTAATCTTTTTACTTCGAGAAATCAGATTTTGCTGCTTGGCCACCACCACATGCTTTAATGCAGCAGAAAGCTTTTGATGACTTTTGATCTTCATTGCCTCAACACTATTCTGACTCATTCTGAAATCTGAGGAAAGCTGTAGAAAGAGTTTGCTCAGTTTGTATGTAAAAGACACAAACATAGTGACCGACTTCCAGCAAGAATTTGATCATAACTCTAAGAGACTTTTCTGTTCAATAGACGTCTGCATCGAATTTCAAAATCCTCGGCTGAAACACGGCTTGAGGTTTACATGCTGTGAGGCAATTTTGCCACCAAAGATTTGCATAAATACCTTTTGGGGGTTGAATTAATACCCACAATATTCAGTTTGGGGCAAATAGGATTATTTACACTGAAATTTCAGCCAAACATAAGACTGAGGCGTCCGACAGCCACACACCCTCCTAAAAGTCTGTGTGTTGGAAACCAAGCAGGCCAACTTGTTATCTCTTAAATGACTCAATTTCAAGTGGATTAGCTCAAGAGGGTCATAGAGCGAACTTTCCAAAAGAAAAAAAAAATATGACTCTCTGTTCTTAAAGGGCAGGGCTTAGATAATGTCAGCGGATGACCACATAGAACCAATCGTTGAAAACCCAAAATGGAAATACCCTCAATTTCTTTTGCCCTCAAGTCTTTCACAATCAGTTCCTGCCTTGTTCTTCCAGTCTTTCTCTTCTCCAGATAAGTGACTGATTGTACAGTAACCAAAAAGATTGCTGTTGTTAGGAAAGACTCGGTTACTTTGATGTGGGCCTTTTCATGGCTGAGACAAGAGACAGTGTGAGAACGAAAACATTTGTGTTTAAAACCCGGGTTAGAAAGCAGGCAGATGACAGAGCTGTGAGTGTGTGAGTGTGTGTCTTCCAGAAGGAGTGGCTGCTCGTCGTGCAGCCGATGATCCGTGACAATCAGGTGTCTGCCAGTTTAAGAGCCATTACACACTTCTGTGGGCTGAAACTCTAGAATACCACACACCATTATAAATCACCTCGACATGAAACACACACACACAAACACACTGGTTTTAGTTGGCAAGGGAGGTTAAGATCAGCTTATTGGAGTAGTTTGTCACACAGAAAGCACAGATGAAGTTTAATTAGCTTAGTGCCATGATGGAGTCAACCCCTAGCAAAACTTTAAACTGCATCAGTACACATTTTGTTTTACCAGTTTAGATTTTTGCTCTTTTCTTCCATACATAAAAAATCCTTCCTGACACTAAAGTAAAACTTTTGACCTGTCATGAATGCTCTCAGATACAGCACTCTGTCAACAGCTGGGTTGCTTAGCAACAACCTTCTGCCATTTTCATGTCTTCCTCATGACTGTGTCCCATTGACCCAGTCTGACGGATTCAGAGGCTGCAGGTGTTTAGAGTTAATTACCTGATTACAGTGTGACGCCACGAGTTCCCAATATTTCACTTTTTCCTCAATATTCAAATATATTTTGTTGTCATTATGAGTGACAAAAAAATATTGAATTTTTTCATAAGGATATTATGACATCTTATTTTTATACTTTTTGCAGACTGTGGGAGATATTCAACAATATTGGTTGCCTCATAATTAAAATAAGAACATTAGTAATTGTCAATCAATCAATTTTAAAGCACTCCTCATATGGAGAGCCTCTGTAGTGCTAATTCATGCTGTTTGGTCCTGTTTTCTGTGCCAGAGTAATGCTGCAGGAATGTTGTCTGCAAATAATTCAACCAAGTCTTAACTATAAAAAGAGTAATTCTGCTCTACTTAGATTATTTACACTTGTTCTTGTGCTCTCGCTGTTATTTATTTTTTGTCTGAGGGATCAAAATGGCTGGTTTTAGCCTCAGCAGTTGTACTTTATATTAATGTGTTTTTAAAATAAAGTTGCAGCAGGTAATCAGATGACTCCAGGCCGATCTACAGTTAGGTTATTTATGGATCTCTGTTTGTGTTTGTGTGTGTGAAATTTTATGAATTTGTTTAGTTTTGCCATATTTGACCTAAATATTGCAGAACCAAAACAGTGCTAGCCTGCTTTGGTTGAAGCTGCATAAGCAGTTGAATTTTCCTATTGGTGCAACTTTGTCACATCATCTGTCCATCCATTTTCTAACACCCTTGACCCTCAGTGGGGTCAGGAGGGTTGCTGGTGCCTCTCCAGCTAACGTTCCGGATGAGAGGCGGGGTCACCCTGGACAGGTCACCAGTCTGTCTCATTGTCACATCATGTTCAGGTATAAAACAATCTCTCTCTCAGACACACGCCCCCTGCTGGTGAGTCAGGAGTAGGAATATTGAGCGCGACCAAGGCCAGCGTTGATCAGCTTTGCAAATGTGATTTGTCTCCGATGTGGCCGTGGAGTGGAACGGCTCTCCTCGGCTCTATTGGTGACGGAGCAGCGCTGCAGAGCGTTGTCACCTTAAAAGTCTCTGATAATGCAGGAAAAAGTCACTAATTTTGTCACTAGTTAGTTTTTTCTTCTTTAAAGTCACTAGAGGTGTCTGAGAAGTCACAAAACGTAGTGATAAAGTGGATGAGTTGATAATCCTGATCACACCCCGTTCATCCCTCTTGGCTCCGCCCACTTTGGTGGAATTTGTCAGAATTTCCCAGGGGAGGGTTTATACTTTAATTACAGTTACTAGTTAGACTTTGAAGAGCAAAAAGATGAAACATTCACTGTGATAAGAACTGATAAGAGTACAAAACTTAGTGGGTCTTTCATTGTCTGCATTTATATTTTTAAGTCTCTGTATCAAAATAACAACAAATGTCACAGCAGGAGGGTTATTTCTTCTTTTGTTGCAAAAGTGAAGTTAGAAATGCCACACCAGCCCATTCTCAGTTCAGAAACAAATATTCATCACAGATGTTTAGGGTAGCTTGGTTCAGGAACCCAGGAGAATCCTGGGATCTCGTTGATCATTTTTTATTTTTTACAACGGACATGGATGCTTCATGGTCTGTGGACATGCATGCAGAATTATGCCAACATAAACACGATGTACCGTAAGCATGAACTGTAATCAAGTTTAAAACATAGTTTGAATAATTCTTCCTTCACGCTTTGAATGCTCTCTCAAAGAAACGCAAACTGGTGTTCATTCAGTCATTTTCTCAGACACTTCAGGGAACAAACGGCGGCCCAGAGAGATGGTGAGACGGCCCCTCAGAGTGTGAAATCAATTTCCCTCGGCTCCAGCGAGGCTCAGGTGCTAAACTCATCTCTCGGCGCCCCTTCATCTTAATTCAATAAGCAGACGCAGGGAGAGCAAAGTCCCTGAGGTAGACGCTGGCCGTGATGTCACCCCAAGCAGCGCGGCATACCACGGATAACGGCCGGGCAGGTAGGGGGGGCGGAGGGGCCCATTGCCAGAGCAGGGCAGGGCGTCTGGTCATGTCCAGACATAAAACCTGCCCAGGGAACGAACGGGCGCAGAGACCATCAACACACCAACCCAAAGCAGAATGTAAACACCAGCAAATTCCACAACACTGTTTGAAGTTTGTGTTTTAAGCCACTTTGGAATTTATTTTCTTCAACTATATTTATATAGGAGTCAGCCTGAACACACTCCGGGTTCAGACATCACAGTGTCATCTGCCTCAAGCAGAACTCTGGTTCTGCAGCACAAAACCCTCCAGACGCAGGTGACCAGACTGAAATGAACACTGATTTAAAAAAAAAAAAAAGTTAAAAATCACTGGAAATCACTCGATTGCTTAACGTTCATAATTCATAGTTTATTCCAAAAGGATTGTCGTGAAGAAAATGAATCTGTTTTTGTGCTTGTGGTGTTGTGCAACAACAGGTTTGGCTGTAAATAACTAATAACCAACAAAAGCATTTAGTGAGGTCACCACCTGATTACCAGGAAATAGTATAAAACAGTTTCTGTCTCAGTTATTGATTATAGATTCTTACCTTATTGAACTTTGATTTGTTTTCACCAAAAGATTGTTGAGTTTTTTGCAAGAAAAACACCAAAATATGTCAGGATGAAACATTGAGGAAGCTCATAGAATTATATAGTTTTATATAAGTTTAATATTAACTAAACCAAATGAAAATTAAATGCAATTCAATATGCCGTTGTGTTTTTAAAATATAGATTATGATTGGATTGTTTTTACCTCGTCATTCAAAACGACTTTGACTTTGTCACACAGTAGGAAAAATAATAAAAATATTACTTCTTAACGAAGTCTCTGAACTCATCTGTCTGGTTTCAGCTGCATACTTGCATCAAAATATGACTGGAATATTCAAAGTTATTCATCTACAGATGTTTTCCTTTGGCGATAACATTTCCAACTTTTCTGCAACACATCATTTTAGTGACGGAAAACAAACTCCTGGTTGAGTCTTTATTTATCCGGAGCGTCTGGAGCTTCAGCAGCTTAAAGTCTGTTTGTCTTGTTTTCTCTCATTATTCCAGACTGGAAGTCGGCAGAATGTGAAATATGAAATGAAATATGAACCAGAAAGAATAAACCAAACAGACTTTTGTGTTTTCATCATGAATGAAGACTGTGCCAACTGATGTTTCAGTCACACTTCAAAACAAAGAGAAACTACACTTGTCATAGAGTGAGTGTGTGTGTGCATGTATGTGTGTGTGTGTCTGGTGGATGTCTCCTATGAAATGAACAGCTGATGATGTTGGTGAGAGCAGCCTGATTGCTCCTGTCATCAATCTCTCATCTTTACTTCATCTGGACTTCGATGTCTCACTGTTTTCCATCTGATCCCCTCACACACCTCCGCCACCACACACACACACACACACGCACAGTTCGTCTTCACTGTCCTGACTGAAGCATTAGGCTCCGCCCCCACTGGGTTCTGATGTCCTGAAAAGTGATTCAAATTATCCATGTTTGTGGCTTTTTGTTTTGTTTCTTAAAGTTCATTACTACTTGTAGAATTTCTGTGCTTTTAATATTTGCATAAGTAACCAAATGTTGCATATTGAGTTGAAATATAACCTGTGATTGTGGAAAATGTTCCTGAAAGATGCTGACTGAACAATGTGGATGTTCAGTCGAAGAAAAGCTATTTAATCTTTAATCCACCTGTTAAATATATAAATGTAAATCAGTCTCATGTATGTCATCTTTATTAAATCTATTTACTAATCTCCATTTAATTTTTCTTTTTTTTTTTTCTACATTCCTAAACTACATTCAGGAGTTTATTCTGTTTCCGGTCAGGGATTTATATCCAAAGCAACACGTCATCCCAAAACTGAGAAAAATCACTAGAGGATCTGGAAAAATGAAAGAAAGTTCAGAAATCTTAATTGAATGAAGTTGAAATGGTGATTCAGATTGTTCTATCCTTGTTACTAATTATGTTTCATGTTTCTAAAAGAAGCAGATATCGATTGCATGAGTTTCCAACCTAACGTGTCGGGATTCTGTCCCACCTTCTCCTCAGGGTCGATGGGCACGGCGGGCCGGCTCTGCAGCCGGGCGTCCCGCGGCTCGGACGGCTGCGAGGTAATGTGCTGCGGCCGAGGCTACGACACGGCGCGGGTCAGCCGCACCACCAAGTGCGAGTGCAAGTTCCACTGGTGCTGCTCCGTCCACTGCAGAGACTGCCAGCAGCTGGTGGACGAGTTCACCTGCAAGTCCCAGACATAGTGGGAGCTGCTGCTGCCGTCAGGACGGATGTGTTCATGCTAACCGGAGCTCTTAATATATTTCTAGATAGACTTCAGTCACTGTCTGCTGCTCCTGCTAATGCTGGCTCTAAGAAACGTCTCATTCCTCGACCCGAAGACCATCAGACCAGACTGATGAAACTAAAGTATTTCAACTTTTTCACGTTCAGCTACTTCACAACCACAATTGTCAGTGTGTTTTATTGGGAGTTTGTGTGGCTGTTCAGATTTGAATACTGCATTAAAGTGCATAAAATTCTTGCCAGTCATCTTAGAAAGTGAAACTCACATATTATATAAAATCGTCACAGAGTGGTTTATTCCAAGCCTTTGTTTCTTGTCATTTTGATAGTTATGGCTAACAGATGATGAAAACCCCAAAAGTGTCTCAGAAAATTAGAATAATGTTTAAAACATCTGTTCTTTACCTATAGCCATAATCATTAAAACTGCAAAAAAAAAAAAAAAAAAAAAAAAAAAAAAAAAAAATTCCCCCCCCCCTTTATGGACCAAGGGTTTGGACCAAAAAAACCGGTTTATGGAAAAAAGG